CCCTGGTTGATAACAAAGGTGTCTTACTTCAGGTATAATTATGTAGCTACACAAATATCCTTTGCAATGCTGCCCAAAGTTAAATACATGGGTACTACAACAGTGCCCAGCATTTGATTTTTATCCCCTTCTTTTCAGAAATCTTATTTAAATATTTAGCCAGCGCTTTGCTTGTGGTAATTTTCGAATGCAACCAATGATATTCCGTGTCGCCCTCCCTCCCGAGGCGATAGATGTAACTTTGTTTAACAAAATAAGATATAAACTTGTATGTATATTTCTGTATACGAATTAAACATAATTAAAAGTTTTTGGTATATAGGGATTAATATATTGTAAGGATTTGAAAGATTTAAGTTTACTTCTAAGAGAAGACAGTAAAAACCGCTTTGTTTTTAGTATATATAGAAAAAGGTATGTGTCTGAATGAGTTGCCTTAGACGTGTTCAGATAGTTATTAAGATATACAGTATATTAGTAAATTGAAACTTTCTGTGTAGCAAGATTAATTTCTTTATCGATAACTTACACCTCATTAGGTTTTCTTTCTTGCTGTAAGCTAGACCTGTTCTTCGCTCGTGCAATCAGGTTAAAGCGCGTTCAGAATTTAAGAGCAATTGAGTAAAAGGAAAAAAAAAGATTACTGCAACCGAACTAAAAGAAAGAAAATTTTTTCTCTTATCCTCAGGGAAGACCACAAAAATGAGAAAAAATGGCTCCTGGGGGTAATCGTCTTGCCGCTGCTGTGAGATGTGAACATCTCCTATTGGTATGCTTTACCTTTGGTTCAGCTATAGCAGTCATCTTGTGGGTTGTAGCCATGAGTACAGACTACTGGTTCACAGTTTCCGCACCCGACAGTGGCGGCCTCTTCGTGAACAATACAAAGATGGTTTTCATATACAGTCACTCAGGTCTTTGGCGGATCTGTCGAACGAGTTTAATGAATGTTACATCAGGAAATGATGGAATTACCACATGTAAGTATTAGTTTCAAAACACGTTTATACGTTTTAAAATTAAGTTTTGTCTAACATGTTAACATATAAATCACTCTTTCTTTAAAAAAAATAATATATATATATAGCATCAAATACATACACAAAGTATTTTAATTGTGTTTTCTTAAGATAATACACAGCTTCTAACAAATTTGGTTTAATTGGTGCCGTTTTTTTTTTTTTGATAGTTTAATTGATCAATTTGGTTTCTGGTACGTAAAACATTAGAAACAAATTAAATGCAGTAATTAAAATATTTCAAGTGTGAACCCAACCCAGTAATCAAAGGATGGCTTGGACTCGCTTTTAAAGACAACTAGAGCCCCGTGTTTATGGTAGCTTCACTAATATTCGAAGTTGACTGACTTGTTGGACATAGGAAATCACGATTTGTTTAGGGCAGGACCTGGGGTAATGGTTGTTGTCAAGGTAGGACTTAGGGTAATGGTTGTTGTTAAGGTAGGACCTAGGGTAATGGTTGTTGTCAAGGTAGGACCTAGGGTAATGGTTGTTGTCAAGGTAGGACCTAGGGTAATGGTTGTTGTCAAGGTAGGACCTAGGGTAATGGTTGTTGTTAAGGCAGGACCTAGGGTAATGGTTGTTGTCAAGGTAAGACTTAGTGTAATGGTTGTTGTCAAGGTGGGACCTAGGGTAATGGTTGTTGTCAAGGTAGGACCTAGGGTAATGGTTGTTGTCAAGGTAGGGACCTAGGGTAATGGTTGTTGTCAAGGCAGGACCTAGGTAATGGTTGTTGTCAAGGCAGGACCTAGGGTAATGGTTGTTGTCAAGGCGGGACCTAGGGTAATGGTTGTTGTCCAGGTAGGACCTAGTGTAATGGTTGTTGTCAAGGTAGGACCTAGGGTAATGCTTGTTGTCAAGGTAGGACCTAGGGTAATGGTTGTTGTTAAGGTAGGACCTAGGGTAATGGTTGTTGTCAAGGTAGAACCTAGGGTAATGGTTGTTGTCAAGGCAGGACCTAGGGTAATGGTTGTTGTCAAGGCGGGACCTAGGGTAATGGTTGTTGTCAAGGCAGGACCTAGGGTAATGGTTGTTGTCAAGGCGGGACCTAGGGTAATGGTTGTTGTCAAGGCAGGACCTAGGGTAATGGTTTTTTTGTTAATTAAACTTTTTAACATCCTATTTTCCAGAAAATTTCGCTTCAACTGCTATTTGAATTTTTGTTGAGATAAGTACATTAATATTCCTTAAAGCATCATTCATCGTTTTCTATCCCGATTGAGCTATCAAGACACCGAACAAGTTTGTTCGTTAGTTTATAGTTAAACACAAAGGTACACGATAGCTATCTTTGCTCTTCCCTACCACGGGTATCGAAACCCGGTTTCTAGCGTTATAAGTCGGCAGACATCCAATTGTGCCACTGGGGGCGACACCATACACCTCTGGGATCTTAAATATATAGAACACAAATGGTTTGAAACTTTTCTCTGAAATTTAGAATTTTGACAATTTTAATCCACTATCTAAGCTAAGCTAAGACTCTGTATCTTATTTTACGTATTACGATCGAACGTAGCGGACTAATCAGGATTTTGAGTCTGTTGGATAACAACTTATTCTGGTAATTCAAGTTTTGAGGACTTTGAGTCTGCTGGGAAACAACTGATTTAAGTATGTGAAGTTTGGGTGAATTTGAGACTACTGTGCAGCGACATATCAAATATAGAATTAAGAACAGAAAACTAACTGTAATGAAATTATATATAAATAAGAGTCCGCAAGGGATCAGAGGATTACAGTACCTTAAGTCCTTAGCGAATTAGAGGGGGTGACCGCTTTTCTCGTCCCCCCCACTATGGAAGTTATGGGACTACCTATGATTATGAGAGGTTGCACTCTGATATAACAGAAACAGCTGTGTTGGGCGTTGTTTTTAATAAATGTATATAAAAGAGAATAAGGACGGCAGGTGTGTGAGAGAGAGAACGAATAAACCGATAGAGGCGAATGAAGAAAATAATTTGCCGCCTAGTTCTAAAACTATGTGTTATTGACTAAAGAAATGGGTCAATTCCTGATAGACATACGTATAAACTAAATAAAGTCGAAGAGAAAGCTAAATGTGAGTATAGTACGATCCTAACAAAGTGATGTCAAAGCGATTTTACAACACACACATTTGTTGTTTTCATCCCTGTCTTTGTAATCTGTAATACATTGTAGCCTTTTTAGTAAATTCTCCCTTTACTGGTGTTTCACTAGTAAGATAATGTAATTTATATTCTATGCCTTGTGTCAGTACCTCCTTTCGTATAAGCTAGGTTAGCCCATATATATCTGTTTCTATCCTCATATTGCAGACAAAATAAACAGTTTAATGTTTTATTACATTCGTGAGAATTTAAAAGCCCCCCAAAGAGACGGTTACATTAAACGACAGTGTTTATTCGAAGTAATCAACATCATAGTCTGTAAGTCTGCAGAGGCTACGCTCCAGGGGGTTGGATTAATGTTATCAGGAGCGGAGAGAGCAATCGTTCCAGTAGCGTTTCGAGCTCAAACAAGCGGAACATTGTTTTCAGTTCTAAATAAGAAATTTTATTTTGTGACTTTTTTTTCACACTTCAGCACATGTGCATGCAATACATTGGAGTAAATGTATTCAGTCTACAAGCAGTTAATTCACATATATAAATCAGGCTCCTGTTAGTCTAACTATTGACATGATAGGTAGTGCTGCGTTTGGCCAGTCTTAAGGAAATTTAGGTAATAACTGTAATGCCCATTTATTTGTTTTACATGCTGAACCCCTATAAAAAACTTGTTTGATTACTAGCCATACATAACTATGACCAGCTAAGACTTGTTTTTGATTCACTAATGGAACGATTTAATAAAACAAAAACAATAAAAGAGCCTTATTTAGTTCTTGCAAACACGAATAGTTGTAAATACATTGGTTTGTATTTTTTTCTTATATTAAATAAAATTACATAAAATTTCTTGATTTTCAAAAGATACACGTCCATGTTTAATTTTACGTATTACTGTTTGCTACCCAATTACGCATCTGCTTATATATTCGTGTTTGCTTGTTTGTTTGTTTTTGTTATGCACAAAGCTACACAAGGGCTATCTGTGCTCTGCCCACCACGGATATCGAAACCCGGTTTCTAGCGTTGTAAGTCCGCAGACATACCGCTGTGCCACTGGGGGGCCTTTGTGCATAAATTCAAACAAACAAATTCCACTTTTCTTAACTTTTACCCTCAAAAGAATGGGGGGGGGAGAGAAGGTAATGTGTATAGTTTATGTAGCCTTTAGCAACCCTTTTAGTCCTTAATATCGAAGGAAACGTCTTATTAGCCAATCGTCTCGTGCTATTTTGGGTGATACTGATCACGTGCTTTGCTGTAGTATTTTTTTATTTATTTAGTATGAGTCTCTCCTGTCTATCACAATTATAACTAACAGATAACTTTCTTTTAACGTTTTGTTTGTTTGTTGTTAAGCGCAAAGCTACACAATGGGCTATCTGTTCTGTGCCCATCATGGGTATCGAAACCCGATTTCTAGCGTTATAAGTCGTCAGATAACTTTAAAGAAACATTAAGGTTATTCATGACAAAGTGAGTAAATTGTTTTTCTTTTAATATCTGTGGAATTTGTGTATTGTAATATAGTTTTGTTTGTTTGAAGTTAAGTACAAAGCTACACAATGGGATATCTGTGCTCTGCCCACCACAGGTATAGAAACCCGGTTTCTAGCCCTACACAATGGGCTATCTATGCTCTGCCCACCACGGGTTTCGAAACCCGG